GACGTTGGCGAGTGTGGGGCATCCGCTTGAGATTCGGGCATGGAAAACTACCAGATTTACTGAATGATAAAGTAGTGCTGCAACCCCTGTTTGGAGGCCTGCGTTGGAACCGATGCAACCAACAACCGGCCCACAGTATTTGTCCCGAATAGCTCGCCAATTCGTCGTTGAAGGGTGTTTTACCATGCTCCACCCGTCATGATATGTCCTGCCCTTTCTCTCACCAATCATCGGGACGTCCTTCTCTAGGTGTGGATTTAGACAGCTGCAGGCCCCGCAAAAGCAGCAGGCAACGAGCCGTGAGATCAAGCAGCCAGGACCCCGACCGTGGTCAGCATCATTGTCTTCCCACACCTGGCGTCAGCAACGCGTCTGCATCTCACTCGGCTTGGCTTACGGCTTGGCTTATGGCGCCACGCAGCAAGTGCCCCAATTTGGCAAACAAAGCCCCCGACACTCAGCAGCCAGCGCGGCAGAATGCTTTTGGCCGCCTTGCTCATTATGAAGTATTGACTGATGAGTGCAAAACAGTGCAAGTAGAGCGTCGGGGTTGTCCATCACCTTCGGCATGACAAGTCAAGCAAACGTCTTTGGGATGGCCTGTCCATAGTTGTGGCAGGGGCGCAAAGTGCCGGACCAAAGCACGGACTGAAGGAATGAAGCATTCGGTACGTATCAAAGAGTCACCCCGCTAAGTTCCATAACCCGCTCAGGGGTTCTTTGCGGCAAGCGCGCTTCAGTCCTTCAGGTAACCAAAACGTGGAGCCCTGGATGGGAAGTGTGTACCGGAACGAAAGGATACTGGCGGAATTGTTTGGGGAGATTTGGGTGAAACAACGCACGCACGAGCGCGTGCGTGCGTGCGTGCGCGCGTGTCGTGTGTCTGTGTCTGTGTCTGTGTCTGTGTCTGTGTCTGTGTCTGTGTCTGTGTCTGTCTGTGTGTGTGTGCGTGAGTGTGAGTGTGAGTGTGTGTGTGTGTGGGTCTTTGTCGTGTCTGTGTTTGTGTATGTGTGTGTGTGTTTTTTGTGGTGTTGTTTTCAACATGGCTTGCGCGTGCTTTTTGATCAAGCCCAGCCCTACAAGCTATCACATTGGGATAACTTTATACAAGCCGGGACTCAACCGATGTCGCCTCATGGTCAACTCCCGTCGGGCACACTTCCCGAGTGGATGGCCCAAACTTGTTATTTACCACTAAAATGGCATTCCCAAAAAGAACACAAAGACCAGGCACTCAGGAACTGAGTGGGTATGGATTGCTAGTCGTTGGAGGGTTGTATGTCCTCGTTCACATGCAACTCGAGATGGCCTGAACTGCGGCTTGCCCGTGCTGCTCGTCTCTGGCTCCCACTTCTTGTTCAGCAAGTCCTGGCGCGCCGGACTTGAACTTATCTAGGGGTTGATTCCCCATTCTTTTCAATCATCGTTCTTTCCAAAAACCTGCCGTTTTCCCTGGGGTTCCGGAGGTTTTGTAGAAAGAAGGATCCCTGGAAAGAATGGGGAAGGCACCCTTAGAACTGAAAGAAAACAGCCCAAAGGTCAGCTGCCAATCAAAACAAGCCAAGCATTAGTGGCATCAATGAATTGCCACAGGCAGCTACTCTAGCTTGCCAAACGTGTTTAATGCCCAGAGAAGCAACGTTGCATCGTATAGGTGAGGTCACATTATCCAGAGTTGAGCTCCCTGTCATGTGAGCAAAATTATGCACATATATATGGCGGCTTTCTTTAAAGAGGAGAGCAAGAATGCATGGCATCAGCCCTCCCGGGTCCCGCCAAATAATAGCACATGCAACCGGCACACATTTGAAGTTTGGGTCTTGGCTTTGCATCTGCAAACATCCTAGCACCAGCGTGAAATTGTAGTGTACATGCATGCGCTCCTTCTGCTCCAAACAATGCTATTGTTATACGTCACTGTGATCCAATACAAGTGTCTTAATGAACTATTTAGAACATGCATGAGCTTCGGATGCCATGTGTTGTTCCTCTGAAACATGGCTGCGCTTCGGCATCCGTGCAAGAAGCAACGACTGCTCACAGAGCAAAGCCATCATGCCACCAACTTGCCAGCTCCAAAGCAAGGCAACGCCTTGGATGGCTTGCCGTGTCGTTTCTGGGTCCTTGAAGTAGGAGTTGGTGAACGCGAGCTTGTCCTGACCAAGCAAACGGTTGAAATAACGGCTGAAAGTCTACGCTCCCAAAGAGGCAGAAAGAGGTAGTAACTGCAATCCGTGAGCCTCAGAATGCAGGTTGTGTTCAATTCAATCCCGCCACATGACTGCAACCGACCCCAAGCAACACATTTGAAACGCGTGTCACACTTTGCATGATGCACTGGTTCAGGCAGACCTCTGTTTTTGTTCAAGCGGAGCTGGGCCCCACAGAATCTTAGTGGCACACTTCTGATTCGACAAACATCTATATATATATATGTGTGTGTGTGTGTGCGCGTCATATGTCCTAAAATAAAATGAGGCGCGTATGATGCGGGAGCAAGTTAAGGGAACGACATCCATTGCACGGTCCAATCCATTGCATCGCATGTAGCGTGCCAGATTGCTAGTATCCGCAGCGGCTGGCATCTTCAAAGCATAGCCTTCTCCTGTTGTCCAATCCGCTAAGATCACTAAAAGTATGATAGGGGACCTTTTGGAAACATAGATGGGTTTTGCTAGCAAATGGAATAACACCCATCTAAGCCAGTGGAACCCATCGTTTTTTGCCCCCAAACTAACCGATCAAAAGGACACCTATGTATAAATAGAAGGTAAAACAGCAGCTTCCTTACCATCCAAGCTACGAGAAGGTGGGGCGTGCCAGCGATGTCACAAAGCCATAAGTCCCACTTGCAAGTGTCGTGTTTAAAAAAGGCAGGCCCATGTGTTGCTCAAGCTGCAGCTCGAGATTTGCATAGGGGCTTCGAACATCTGTGCCACCGGGATGCCGTGCAAGCCTTGGAGACAGCATTCGGCCCCAACAGTTCAACATGCAGACCCTCCCTGATTCTGATTTGATTGACAACTGTGGACGGCCACGTACGAGGGACCGGGACCGTCGCCCATGGAAATTGCGGGAAATATTTGGCCGGCGCATATTTGCGAATGGGCCAGCCATTGGTTTTTGCAAAATAAAGTCGAGGCCGCTTGACAAAACGCGCGAACGCATGTTAAGAGATGCTAAGCATGCCTATGAAAGCCAGTGTCGCAGTCAGCGACGCCGCGTCATGCTGCAACAGCCGAAGGGACAATGCGGCCGTTTCGAGACGCCTGGCTTTAACCAGGAAAGGAAGGCTTGCCCGCGTTTGCCCGCTCAAATCATCACGCGAAGCCTGAGCCAAATGGGATACCTCCCTTCCCTGAGTGGACATTGGGCTGGAACCTTTTATGACCATGTTGAGCCCTTGAATATATACGCGAGCAATTTTGCGATGCTTGGCATGTTGTTCGAAACGGTGATCTTTGCAGGTGGGGGTTGCTGGATCATCCACAAAAATCGCCCCCCCTCGCGGCTGTGTGCCCCGCCTCTGTCCAGGGCCCATCAAAGCCGGACCGATCCAGGTGGCACATCCTCAATCGCGGCGAGAGGCCCTGGAAACGAGGACTTCAACAGTTCACGTCGGGTTGCGATAGAACATGCAGTGAGTGAGAACAAACCGCCACACATGTTGTGTTCTGAAAAAATGGAGCAAAGCCCGGCCCTGAACAGAACAAGCAGGCTCACTTGACAAACTCTTTAGGGCTCAATGAAAGAAGCATTGAGATAAACAGACAGTTCTGCCGACCCAATCAGACCCAAGCCGAAACCCCACGCGCCACACCTCCCCCATATCCAACTACCAACGCACATAACATTATACCACATAGCTGCCATCTCACAGCAAATTTGCAGCTGGGCCGGATCTCTCCCAAAACAAAGCTCAGGGTTACTTGGGCATGCCCTTGGTATCTTGGTGGACTGAGATCAACTATCCCACAGGAAACTCAAAACTACCAATCCCCGCAGAAAGAAGATCGTACTTTGCCAACTAGTGCCCCATGAGCGCTTTTTCTTGGCCACCCCTCATCCCGGCCATTAAAAAAAAACACCATGGGCAACATGCGATTGTCTGGATTCTTCTCCGAAACGCGCAACAATCTAGGGGTTGATTCCTTGATATTCCTTGTCCATTCTTTTTCAACCATCGTTCTTTTCAAAAACCAGCTGTTTCCCTGCAAACTGATGGTTGTCTGGAAAGAAGGATCCCTGGAAAGCATGGAAATGGAAGTGTCCCCTGGAAAAAACCTTCCCACCTGCCACCTGCCATGGCCGCCTTGGCGGCCCACAGGGAGGGACTGGCACCGGAGCCTCTGGCACTCTGAGCCCCCCAGCCCCACAGTGTGGGCTCCGGACAAGGCCACCATGTCCCTGTCCTCAAAGCCCTGCCCGAGGATTGCGGGTTTCTAGGCATACCTTCCATTTCAAGGGGTGTCCCCACTCCCGTAGTAATAAACCGGGGGTTATTCTTCCGGGGTCAACTTGCGTCAGCATTAGTTGGTACCTTCAAGCCATTTCCATTTTTGTCCAGGGATCCGTTTTTTTTTCTTCAGGAAACCGTCAAGAACTGTAGGGGAAACGAATCCGGTTTTTGAAAGGAACGGTGGTTGAAAAAGAATGGACAAGGAATCAACCCCTAGAGTGTTCACGCCCGAATGCGATACCCTCCCACCAATTGACATGGGAACCTGACGTTTGGGTCCTTTAAAAGGAAGATGGTCTTCCAGGACCCCCCTGTCGGGCTCCATGTTAATTGGTGAGAGGGCAAGTCAAAAATACAACCTGGATATGGACAATCGCAGGTGTTAATCCTTTCCATTTACCAGGGTTCCATTCTGGGTACATTATTTTGACCCATGCCCGAATGACCAAAGCTTTCGCATGCAGAATCGAACCAGTCACACGGTTGAAGGCACTCAGTCGTGGCCTTCACCTTCACTGGTCTTTCGCAGGTCGCAAACACTTCATATGACCGAGATGACAGGCGAAACTGTCGCCGTCCTTCGAAGAGCCTCAGCGGCGTAATACGAAGAGTACACCAGGGAGACATTCAATGCGTCAGCTCTGAAGGCCGGATTCAAGACGGTGGCATGAACCAAGGCGCCCTGCGTCTTGCTGAACTCCCCGATGTAGCCAGCCTTGCCTGTTGCGGGAACCCCAATGGCGTCGATGATTCGAACAGCCGCGGCGTTGAACCTTGCTGCGTCCTGGCTATACTGGGCCAGCTCGAGGAGTGACGAGGCGAAGATCGCGGATGCGCTCACATCGCGCTGGTCCAAACCTCGCTGACCCGGCCAATCGAAGTCCCAAAGGGCGACCTCATCGGAGGTCTCAGCCATTCTGGCGAGAAAGTAGCGCGCGCAGCGCTCGGCGGTCTGCAGATGCAAAGGCAGCTGGGTGAATCTGTATGCCATGGTAAAGCCATACGCGCACCACGCTTGTCCGCGACTCCAGGTGGACGTGTCGTTCAGGCCTTGATGCGTACATTTTCGAGCCACCGTCCCCGTCTCGGGGTCGTAGTCAACGACGTGGAATGTGGAACCATCTTCCCTCACGTGGTTCACCGCCGTCTTGTTGGCATGCGACTCGGCAATTCTGTAGAGGTTCGCATCCCCACCGTTGGCTGCAGCCCAAAAGAGGAGCTCCAAGTTCATCATGTTGTCAATGATCACCGGGAATTTGGAAGTGTAGGCATGGTCAGTGCTGCATACGCCCTTGTAAGAGTTCCAGCTCTTCGTACAACCAACCCTCTCATCGAAACGAGTGGTGAGAGTCTTTGCAGCAGTCTGAACCACCTCCTTGTACCCGAGGCGAGCCACTTCGCTACCAGGAAACTTGGACTCATCGCCCGCAAGCAGTAGTCCATATCCGAAGCTGCCGAAGACTTTGAAGCCGATATCATGTGAACCCCCATCATGCTGCTCATCCCGAATTCCCTCCGTCCAGTTCAACGCCAGGGAGGCCCACTTCTCCGCTTTTGTGATGTCATAGAGCTGCCACAAAAGCCCCGGGAAGAATCCGCTGGTCCATGAGCTGGCCCTGGTCATGTGCCACACATTCAGAGATCCATCCGGCATGTCCCCGGGAGAGGTCTGGCCCGGATACTTTCGTGGGTCTCCCCTGGCGGTCCTCTCCTTCCATTTGCTTCAGCCCTCTGAAAAGAATGAGAATACTTCCAGTAGTGATAGATTCCCTTTAAAACTGAAAGGGGAAAATGAAAAAAACACATTTCAGCAAATGGAAGTCTCCGCTTGCAGCTCCAAGGCCGCCAGCAACGTCTCAGCCGCTGGGCTGGGCTCGGAGGAAACCAAGGCCAGAGCAGCAAGCCCCGTGATCGCAGCAGAAAACGGCGGCATGGCTTATCAGTAAGTCAGCGTCGCGAAAATCGATGTCCTGCTGGAGATGTGTCTTTCCTCTCAAAATGGCCCAAGCACAATGACCTTCAGCTGCGATGCCAAATTTTGTGTAAACAAAAACCAGTACAGTTTGCGACTCCTTCCCTTGGTTGGAGACAACACCCACATGGGTTGGGAGCTCAATCTTCGGTCAACCAGCCACTTTTGAGGTGGTTCCCCTGTGCGTTCGTCCAAGTCAGACTTGCGGCAATCTTCCCCAAACTCCCAGCATTCGGGATTCGAAGAGCGCGCGGCTGCAGCCTCAGGCGTAAAGGCAACCCTTGCCGGTCAAGGCACTGCTGACTTAGAGGAGTCAGCAGCCAGACTTTGCTTAACGAATTGCCTGGCTTACCTTTTAGCTTTTGCCTGGGTGTCCATCATGCTTCAGCACAAAGTTCTCAACCTTTTGCAGGGGCCCAGACCGGTCAAGACTGCCCCAACCTCCGCGCCTTGGGCTGGAAAATCGAGCGGATGTGCATTGCGTCCTTGTCTCCGTCCTGCGTCTCGCGCCGAAGGAGGGGCACGGCTGAGGCCGTGAATCATCCTTGAAAAGGGCGTCTCAAAAAATTATTCGGCGCAAAGAAACGGAGGTCCTTTCGGCTTACCTTTGATGTCAAGGGAAACCAGGGGCCCAGGTGAGCTCGTTAAAACAGGGGCCCATAATCTCAGAAGTATCCTGGAGCCACTAGCCAACAACCATTCAAAAGAACGCCGTGATGCGCTGCTCAACAGCTGCACAAAAAGCCGTGCAGGGAGCAACTTTGCGCAGCCTTGAGACAGGGAGAGAAGCTCCCACGGACTGGCTGATATGTCCATGAAGGCCGTTCCCTCTCCCCAACCATAGTGGAGAGGGGAAACTCCGAAAGGACTGTTTCGAAAACCGTGAGTCTTGGAGGCTGGGAACCTTGAGGCCCTCTCAACCGCTCTGCGCGGTCCGGTAGCCGCCCTTCTGCTGACTGCACGCCGTCAGAGCTACTCTTGGCCTCGCGAGTCGCAAAAAACCGAGGCCAAAGGAAAGGTCGTAATGCCTTTTTTCCTTTTCCCCCCCACACCCCATGGACATGTCCTTTTGGAATAAAACCCAGTTGGCTCAGTTGTCCAGTGGCGCTTGTGGAAATGGTAGAGAAAGGCATGCCTTGTTTGATAGTTTTTTTTGGTGGGGAGCATGTTAAACAAAGGGGGAAAGGGGATCACTGACCAAACTTGAAAAGGATGACAAAGGATGACACTAGAACAGTGCCATCTGTTTCAGAGAAACTGACTAGAAGGTCATGACCTTTCTGATCATAAGTGTGCTCAGTAGAAGCAAGGCAGTCGGGGAAAACAGATTGATGCTTTTCACAGCACAGCTGCAACCAGCGTTGGCAGCTGGCTGGCTCAATGTGAAGCCCTTGATGGCACTGATTCACTTACGCCCTCCTGAAGACCCAACATGGCAAAAAGCTGCTGAGGTCGTTTCCATACAAACTGCAGCTCTCCAAATTTCTGTCACTGACGACGAAGCATGATATGTAGGTGCTTGCACCAGCATGTACAGTATCCCTTCTCATTGCTGAAATGTGTGCGTGTGTCTATAACCTATACATGCATATTCAAATGTAGAAAATACAGGTATCGTGTGCGTGTGTGCGTGCGTGCGTGGATATCTGTTTGCGTGTTTGCGTTGGTGTGTGCGGTGTGTGTGTGTGTGTGCGTGACTCTCTCTCTCTCTCTCTCTCTTTCTGTCTGTGTCTCTCTTTGTCTCTGTCCCTGTCTCTGTTTCTGTCTCTGTCCTGCCCTTGTCTCTGTCTCTCTCTCTCTCTCTCTGTCTCTGTGTCTCTGTCTGTCTGTCTCTGTCTGTCTGTCTGTCTGTGTCTGTGTCGCTGCCTGTGCCTGTGCCTGTGTCTGCGTCTGTTGTGTGTCTGTGTGTGTGTGTGGGTGTTGTGTGCGTATCTGCGTCTGTGTGTGGGTGTTGCGTGCATATCCGCGTCTGTGTGTGTGTGTGTCTGTGTGTCTGTGTGTCTGGCTGTGCGTGGGTGTGTCTGTGTGTGTGTGTGTGTGTGTCTGTGTGTGTGTGTTTTGCGTGCTTGTGTGTTTGCGTTTGTGTGTAATATGTTGTGGTTTTGTGTGTGTGTGTGTGTGCTTGTGTCCGTGTTTGTGTTCGTGTGTTTGCGTTTGGGTTTGGGTTTCTGCGTGTTTGTGTACTTGTTTTGTGTTTGTGTTCCTGTTTGTCTTTGTGTGTTTGGGTTTAGGCTTGGGGTTGGGCTTGTATTGGTGCTTGTGCTTGTGTGTTTGTGTGTTTGTGCTTGTGTTTGTGCTTGTGTGTTTGTCTGTGTGTGTGTGTGTGTGTTTGTGTTTGTGCTTGTGTTTGTGTTTGTGTTTCTGTTTGTGTGCGTGTTTGTGCTTGTGCTCGTGTTCGTATGTGTGTGCTTGTGTTTGAGTTTCAGGTGTGTATTTGCGTATTTGTGTTAGTGTTTGTGTGTGTGTGTGTTTGTTTTTGTATGTGGTTGTGTCTGTGTGCTTGTGTCTGTGCTTGTGTTTGTGCGTTTGTTTTCGTGTTCGTGATTGTGCTTGGGTTTGTTTGTCTTTGGGTGTTTGTGTTTGCTTTCGTGAGTGTGTGGTTGTGCTTGTGTTTCTGTATGGGTGTGTGTGTGTGTGGTTGTGTTTGTGTTCCTGTTCGTGCGTTTGTGTTCGTGTACGTCTTTGTGTTTCTGTTTGTGTGCTTGTGTTTGTGTTTGCTTCGAGCGGCTCATCCAACGGCGCGTGTCGCGTGGGGCCCTCGCATCCAGCCGCCCGAAGCGGGTCGGAATGTCCGGGCCGCTCATCACCTGGCGCCGGCTCAGCTGGCTGGTGCTCCGGGTGGTGGGAATGAGCCGTTGGGAATGAACCGAGGGTTCTGCAAAATCGTTTGGCGATTCCCTTAAAGGCTTGAAGGAACCCATACAGGGGATGGTTTTAGGGGTCATTCCAACTCCGGGTGTTGGGACTGAACCGTTGAGAGTGAACCGAGGGTTCTGAAAAACTGGCTAGTGCGATAGGTAGGGAATGACTGAGTCCGGGTTTTGGGAATGAACCGCTTTGGGAATTTCCTGAATAGAGGAAACCACCAGTTGGATGGTTTATAGGGGTCATTCCAACTCATTCCCTGCCGAGAACCAGTAAGAAAAGCCACACAGACTTGATGCGCTCGCACACTCTAGCTTGCCTGCCATAGCAAAACAACAGCCTTTGCGGCCAACATGGCTCAGCTCAGCAACTCAAACGGCCTCCTAGCACCACATGCCCTACCCACCCTGGGGTTTCGTTGCGATACTTCACAGGAAGCCAAGCTGGATCGGCCTAAAGTGGGTGCTTTCCTTTTCAGCTTTAGGATGCCCTCCCAGCAACTAACCTGGAAGTGCAAGAAGTCCCTTTCCAAGAGGAAAGACTCGTCTTTCAGGGGGTCTGTGCACCAACCCATTTTGGCTGGTGGGAGGGCTCCCCTCGGCCAAAAACACATTCGACCTTCCATTTGCTTAAGCCCCCTGGAAAAAATGGATTTTTTCCAGTAGTGATGAATTCCTTTTAAAACCAACAGGTGAAAAACAAAAAACAAACACACACATATTCATTTCAGCAAATGGAAGCGACCCATCGATGGGTCGCTCCTTGATGGCCGTGTTGGCCGCTAAGGCCCAGAGGTCAGCATTGGAGACAAGCCGGGGGACGTACCTGGCGCTTCGCTTCTCCGCGGTGCGAGATGATGCGAGAAGAGGACGAGCTGTCCTCCAGTAGTCTGAGGTTGCTTAGAATAAGTTGGTACCCTTGTTTTTTTTTTCCCTTTTTCCATTTTTGAGTAGAGGTTGTTTAGAATAAGGGTAATCATCGTTGCTTTTCTCATTTTGTCTGTTTTTGTACGGAAACCCTCCCAACCAAAAACGTTGGGTGAGAAAGGGGCACCTAGCTGGTGGACCTAGGGGACGATGCAAAAAGATTAGCCATGGGCCATGGGTCAAAACCCAAAGCCAAATCGTAGCCCCGGGGAACCTCCGATTCAATCCAACCACTAAAATAGGTCCTAAAATGGGTGGTGAATTCACGGAAAACCCCAAAATGGGGTCATGACCAGAGAAGGAGACAATGCCACAAGCTTAGAAATGCTTGGAGATGCTTATCCCTCGGTCTTCCCTATGGCAAGGGTGAAAAATAAGAGCGCAAGCAAAATGCATTCGATTCGGAGCTGGGAGCACTTCATATGCGTTGAATTCATGCCCTGTATCCTTGGTAATTGACCATGTGGCACGAACAGCCTCGGAACCAATCCCTGGGAGGGGTAGAGGCACCCGTTTTACACTCGCTCAGCGAAAACATAGAACGCGAATATCAGCCAAAGCCTGTGATGCGTCGCGGAGGCTGGAGCCACGCAAACAAAGGGATTGACTCACTCAAGCTTTGGGCAACCTGGCGAGTTGGCACTAGGTGTCCTTTTGGCAAATAGATGGCCTTGGTAAATGGAATTAAACCCAGCGAACCCATCCATTTCTAACCAAACTAAGCGATCAAAAAGACACCTACGGGTCCGGCATGTTGACCAGGTTGCCGGCCCCTGGGCTCACTTGTCAGTGATGGCCTGGAGGAGGCCCAAGGCGACATCAGGCCTTGGTAGCAGTCAACAAAAACACAGCAAGTGAGTCGCGATCGAGACCCGGTATTAAAATGGTGAACCCCAGAACCTATGATGATTAAAGTGGTGAACCTTATTAAATTGGCAAAGAATCAAAAGGGCGGCCGCACCTATGTATGGTCGGGACTGTCCCTTACTAACCTTCACTTACCCGGGTTTTGAGGACGTGGCCCAGGTTGCACATACAACACCTGGGTTTGACATGCAGTTTTGCAGCTTGTCTGCGGATCGCTCTCGTTGTCTTCGTCAAGCCATTTGCTGCCAAACTGGCCTGCCTGCCGTTCGATTGAAAGCCGGCCATCAGGCTTGGAATCGGGAC